CCCAGAGGAAAGCATACACTTGCGTCCTGGTCAGGATGCTATTGTACAAATTCGGTATTGCCAGTCCAATCCCCAACGTGAGTTGGTGTGGGCTGGGAGAGGCAAAAACTGAGTGACCAAGGTTCTGTACTCTGCCAGATCCTGGGCGACTGCCGTCAAGGTTGTTAATGTTTCAGATCAGAATGTTTGGATCGACACTAGGACTGCGGTTGCGCGTATTGTGGAGTATGGACAATTCCCAGGACAACCTGGATTTGTCCGTCCTGGTAAAGCGCGGTATGAAGAATGTCAACAATTAATCCATGGGTGTACCGTGTCGCGCCAAGCAAGGATGCGTGCTGAACGGCTAGAGCAGATTCTCAGGGAAAGGGAGCATCCGTGCACCCAGACAGAGATATCAGTGGTCTACTAAGCTATTAATGCGTCCACAGCCCCAAGTCGCTGAAGTGAAGATGGTGAAGTTGCAAGAAAAGCCTAAACCATTGGACATGACGCTCAAGATCATTGGGAATTCAGCGGTCGTCATGAACACGGTCGCGAGAGACCTCGAGGAGCCTGAGACCCGTCCTCAGCCGGCAGAACAGACCCATCCTGACTTGAGTCCAGACGTTGAGACTCAGGATCCAGAGAGTATGGCGGATGTCGAGAGTAATGCTCAGGCCCCTGAACCGTCAGTGGATGTCCAGTCACAGACGAGCTGTTCGACACCAGTCCAAAGTCTGGAGGCAGGCTCGGGTGATGCGAGTCTCTGCCGGAGAACTGGATCTGAAACCTGCCGTATATCTCAGGGAAGGAAGTGATTTGATGTCGCAGTGACGAGACCAATATATCATGCTCCCGAAAATTGAGGAACTGACCCTAGAATGTAACATCGACGAAGCTAATGTCGGAGTCCCAGGGGTCACAACTCCAGAGATGGAAGCCAAGATGAGAAGGATCCTGAAACGTCATCGCAGCATCTTCCTGGGAGATGGCAACGCAGCCCCAGCCCCGGCTAGGGGTGTAGTGTGTGATATCGACGTTTGTTAAGCAAAACCAGTAGCTTTACATGCGAGGCAGATTGCCGCACCTTTCTTGGTGAAGGTGTTTGAACTCCTGAAGAAGTTGTTGGAGGCGGAACTCATTGAGCACTCAGAGTCCGAGTGGTCCTCACCTATTGTGATTGTGCTAAAGAAAAATGGCATAGACATCCCGTTATCCTCTACATCTGATCGATGACCTACTGGTAGACTTCAAGTCCGCGATGTTGTTTATGAGTCTCGATATGGCGAGTGGATTGTGGGCGGTGCGAATGACGGAACGAGCAAAGTTTATCTCTGCGTTCGTCTGCCCGTTCGGCCACTTTCAATGGCTCAGAATGCCTTTCGGATTGAAGAATGCGCCGTTAATTTATCAGAGCATCATCAACAACTGTCTGTGGGGATTCGTCCGCCTACCTCCTGAAGAAGAAGCGATGATTGACGAAGAAGTTCTGGGGTTCTTGAATCTTGAGCCTCAAGACCCTGAAACCTGAAGTGGATATGCGGGACTCAGTGATTCCTTCATTGGACATGACTATATTCCGACGCAATATTCCGGCTCCGTCACAAATTGGTCCGGTTCTAGGAAGAAGCTCGTATATTTACGATATCGCTCATGGGGCGTCGACCTGGGACCGACTATGTGAGGACCTGGACGCGTGGTTGTACAGACTACGATATTGGAATATCTCTGTGAGCTTACCAGATCGGAAGAGAAAGTTGACCATCCCATTCCTCTCTCATGAAGTGAGTGCGGATGGAATCAGAGCCTTGCCGAGGATTGTCAAAGGCATAGAGGACTTACCTTTCCCGTCGACGTACAAGGGCGTGCAGTCCTTCTTAGGAAGTCTGAATTATTACAACAGGTTTATTGAAGACTTACCAGTAGTCGCCGCTGTGCTCTACGAACTGGACGAAGAGCGTGTACGTGCAGGACGGAACCTGGAAGCCGCAAAGGAGTCTTTCGAGATACTGAAACG